TACAAGTTTTTTTACAAACAGTAAAACCAACAGATTACAAGAGACGGATTGTGTTGTTACCCGCTCCTTTGAATCTAATTGGGTGGGTTTACAATTAAACTTTGTACAACGTCATTAAATTAGGTGCTAGCTGTAGCTAATTAGCTTGAGTTCATTAATAGGGTTACACATATAATTTCCTTCTCTTCTTTGTGATCTAATTTAGCTGGAAGACCCTGCAAAGAAGTGAAATAGTGATGTTTTCCTCAAACTTAAACTAGGATATAGCATATACGAAATAAGCTTCTGGCTTAGTTGTGGCAGAACTAACACATGTTACTAGTCAGGCTAATAGCTAAGGCTGTGCTAATTAGGAAAACAGGCATAAAATCTAAAAGCAACCATGTTTACTGTTTGTGCCAGTGTGGTCTATTTTTATCCCCCATACTGTAAAAGCCCAATCCAGTCACAAGGACAAATGTCTGACCTAAGCGACCAATCAACCACATCAGTCCAGGCCAAACAGGGTCACATGATCATTGATGAGGCAGCCGTGGTTTGCTGCTGACATTTTAAGGTGACTGTGGTGAAATGCATTCTCCTTAGTAGCACCAGTCTGACCGCATTGAGGAACCAGATAATTCTGAAGCATTATGGTGATGTGAACATCCATTTCAAATTTCTGATGATCTTTAACAGGGATTGCCAAACTTTTTTTGTCAGCTGAACCCCTTTAATCTAAAATATTTAATATTAATATTTAAAAAATAATAATTTTTAAATATTTTAATAATTTAATTAAGCATTCACATGTTCTCTGATGTCAGTGTCATGGCCACATGACATGGAAGCAAGCAAATAAAAATATTTAAGTTTTTTTATTGTTATATACTGTATGTACATGTATGTGTGTGTGTGTGTTTATGTGGTTTATGAGGACACAAATTTGTATAATAACATGGGTATGACATAGGTATTACAACGAGAAGGTGATTTATGAGGACATTTTCAGTGTTCCCGTAATTCAAAAGGCTTATAAATAATTCAGAATGAGATTTTCTGAAAATCTAAAAATGCAGAAAGTTTCCTGTGAGGGGTAGGTTTAGGGGTAGGGTTGGTGTAGGGCAATAGAAAATATGGTTTGTACAGTATAAAAACCATTACGCCTATGGAGAGTCCCCATAAATCATAAAAACAAACCTGTGTGCTCTTTAATAAAAATGTAGTTTTGCATTTTGCATGTGCAAATTTAATGCAGAATTTAAAATTAGTTTAAAATGAACAATGTGCTGCTGTGTTTAGTTTTACTTTCACTGTAACATTTGCCCAGAGATAGTCTCCGCCCACGTTTTCCAGCCGAAAGTGTTTTTCTTTGTTTTACAAAACAAGCTATGTGTGTGTGTGTGTGTGTGTGTGTGTGTGTGTGTGTGTGTGTGTGTGTGTGTGTGTATGTGTGTGTGTGTTCAGTGATATACCGACATTCCAATTGTTTAGGAAAAAAGGAAAATTCATTCACAAATTCAATATGGTGTATAACCTGACTAGGGTCTATGCTGTATCTTCTTTCTACTCACTATGATGGTAATCTTAGATGTATAAATCTTTACAAAAATTATTTACAATGACTGTCAGTGGAATAATATAAGCACAGTTCAAAAAATTAATATTAAATTCACAAAATGTGCAAAAATAAATTACCACAGTTTGGGGTACCAACCCTGTTTTACAATCCAGATTTTAATCAGATTTCCAAAATATTCCCCATTGGTCGCCCTACCTGTTAGCCCCGCCTCAAACATATGCCATTGGTTGAGCCAGTGTTGCATGATTCAACAGAGGGTCAAAGCTTTGACAGAGGGTGTAGAGAACCAAAAAACTGGATCTTCCATCATCTGTCACAAATGAAACCTTTGCAAAGAATTGTATCAAAAGTGTTTATCAGTTGTACCCTTTAATATCCCTCATTCCGAAAGACCCTTAGAAATTGAGCACTTTGGTTTGGAAAGGCCCTTCATTATAGTGGCTATGATTGTTCTCATTCTGAAGTGCCCTTTGCAGGCAAATTGATCCTGTTTGGTATACAGCGACAGTGTTTTGGGGGGAATCTACAAATTCTGCTTATCTCTGTTTGTCCTACTAGAAACCTTAAAATACTAGCTATATTACATTTAAATCCATTGTAACACAGTTTGTAGATCAGGAAGAAGGAGGCGGGAACCGGCAAACGCTCAAAGAAAACTTTAATAAAATAAACAAACATAAAGTAGCACGACAGCCCCTCGCGGACGACTGCCACACACAAACAGAACCAAAACACAAAGTAAAGTCCAGGCCTGGTCCTCTCTCGTCCAAAACTGTCGTCCCTCCTCCTTTTATCCTTCCGGAGCTCCTCCGTGGGACTCGAGACAGGTGAGTGGCGCAGGTGTCGTGCATTAGCATTTACTCCACCGGCCTCGCTCCGTTCCCACGCCTCTCGGCCCCGCCCCTCTTGTCACATCCATCATGTTGATGTAATTTGTCAGAGTTTGAACATTTTGGAGATCAAAATGAATGTAATCAGCAGTACATGATAGGGGGCAGTGCATATCTGAATAAACTATTGAATATCAGCATGGCCTATAAAAAGTATGTGTAACTGAGCTCTGGCCTTTGAGCTGACATGTAGAATAAGGTTGAGAGCCCATACCAGACAACACGCTGTGAACGTTTATGGTTGTAACTCTGTCACTCTCCTGGCAGGGACCAGCCCCAAATCATCACGATCCTTCATAATGATTTAAAGTGAATATTTTGAGATTTAAATGCATTTTCTTTCTCAATGCCGAACCATAATATGTCAATCGGTTGTATCACATTTCAAAACCTTGAGGACCAATTTTCTTGGTATCAAGCCTAGTTATAAGACTTTGAGGTTAAAGTCTAGTTACAAAAGGCATACATTCTTATTAAATTCGATTGAAATGAGATTTGAAGCAACTTGCATAAACTTTGACACCACAAATGAGCGTTTACCTGTTTGAAAAATGAGAAATAATTGTTAAATAAACCTGAAATTTGATGTCGCTGTCCACTGCCAGCTCTAGGCACAGGATCATTTGTCGATAATTACTTGTGTCAGTGCAACACTCCCAGTTGTCTGTCAATGTTATGTTTGACTCTCTGTGCCTGGAGCTTGGCCCAATTCAGCTCTAATATGACCAAATTTATTAATGTTATTTCTGTTAATACAGACCATTAGCTGCCAGACTGCTTGTGAAGGAAACGAGAAAGATTAGACTTGATAGCAAAAACTGCCAGGTACGCTAACCATTTCTGAATAGGCGAATAGACATTTGGCTGCTATTTACATGAAAGAAATACGACTGCAGCCTGAGGGTGTTTTGAACTTTGAAAAATGTATTTGCAAAATCCCATGAGTGCGAGGAATTCGCTTGGTAAAGAACCAGCGTAGATCACTCCAAAACATAACAGGCTGACTGCATCGCGTGCTGTGAGTGTTTGCGCTTTTTTTCGTGACAAACCGCCTATTCACAGGGAAAAGGACCTGCTTGATTTTTTACACTGCACTGCTCAAGACGTCTTTGTGAGGCTTATGTGCTGAATATTTGAGGTGACTTGCTGATGCTCTGTATGCAGACACATTCTGACAGATTTGGACAGAGCCCAAGGCAGATACAAAAGAGTAGTCTGTCAAAACCAGGGATAATTCCCTTCCTCTCTACAAAGACACCATCTGAGAGCCATTTACCTAAACAGTGTGGTTTTTCATAGTTTGGGGAATACAATGAAGTTTTGAACTTGTTGACATTATTTATCCCTCAGTTCTTTAAATATGTGAAGAGAAGTTCTGCTTTCAAAGACACCAAGAATACTTCAAGGAAATATCCAACTAATGCTCATTATCATATCTTTTTAAGTAAGCTAAAAGGTCCTAGAACTGTAAGTAATTTTATATTTTGCCCATTTTACCAGTAAAAATAATGAATGCATGGTTGTTTTAAGGACATAATTCTCCCACAACTTAAAGCATTTGAGAGACATGACCAATGTCTATGAAAAATGTTCACTAATGTGGTTCAATGACTTATTTGGTTTATGATGTATTGTTGTAAAAACAAGAAATGGCACTTATACAGTTTGTAAAAATGTATTCATATTTCTGTACTCTAAAAAACAAAAATGACACAATGGCGGCAACATACTTAATTCTGTCAGTTAAATTAGACATAGACAACAGCATTATTTTCTTGTAAAAAATAAATAACTAATTTATTTTACTTTATGATACTTCAATAAATGTACAAAATACTAAATCTTTTTAAATGGGCGATACAATTATATACATCTATCTGTTCCATTTCAACAAAAATGGAAATTATGTATTTTGCAAAAGTTACTGGAAAGATGGAAACTGGATGGTTACTGGAACCACAGATTTCCATACACTGAAATTATACAGTTTGACCTATGTGACCCTGGACCACAAAACCAGTCATAAGGTTAAATTTTACGAAATTGAGATTTATACATTCTATGAAAGCTGAATAAATATGCTTTCCATTGATGTATTAGACACCCTCCCGATTCCACAGCCGCAGTCTAGTGCCCGCTTGGTGCCAGCCATTCCTGGGCCCTATAATAATAAAAAACACAATAAATGATTATACTTTTTTTTTATGATGTTCAAAAATAATAAAGAATTATGAGTGCTAGTCCAGGTTCAGGGTCAAAGTTTCAGCAGAACAGCTGAACACTATTTATGAAGCTAATGCTATTTGTCAACTTAGATGTGTTAATTAACCACATGTTGAAATAGTGTTATAGAGACGTGTACAGCTTGGTTATTCTGATCCTGAGGTTTTGCTATCTAAAGAATATGTGTGAGCAGACAGAAAAGGCAATGTGCAATTAAAAATGATTGTCTGTTGTCATAGGCTCCCTAGTGAAAAAGTAATACATTTAAAATACATTTATTTCATACTTCGTATAGTTCAAATCTATTATCATATTTACTGACATACCACTGATATAAAAATTATCCCACAGCCGCAGTCTAGTGCCCGCTTGGTGCCAGCCATTCCTGGGCCCTATAATAATAAAAAACACAATAAATGATTATACTTTTTTTTTATGATGTTCAAAAATAATAAAGAATTATGAGTGCTTGTCCAGGTTCAGGGTCAAAGTTTCAGCAGAACAGCTGAACACTATTTATGAAGCTAATGCTATTTGTCAACTTAGATGTGTTAATTAACCACATGTTGAAATAGTGTTATAGAGACGTGTACAGCTTGGTTATTCTGATCCTGAGGTCTTGCTATCTAAAGAATATGTGTGAGCAGACAGAAAAGGCAATGTGCAATTAAAAATTATTGTCTGTTGTCATAGGCTCCCTAGTGAAAAAGTAATACATTTAAAATACATTTATTTAACTGATGTATGAAAACAAATGTTTGAAAAAAAAATTGCCATAGAAAAAATTATAATTTAGAAATTGTTAGTAAATTTCCCATTAATTACATAAAATGCCGAAAAAGTATTTTCTTGTAAAACATAAATCCAATCATCTTTTTTTTTTTTTACTTAGAAAAAATATATATATTTAAGTTTATTTCAATGTGTTTCTTGTGAATAATACAAATTCAGTAAGAAAGATAAAATTAAAATTACATACAACAAACTTTTTCAGGAACTGTCTTGAGCCTTCAAGGTCAATCTCTGATATCTCCACAAAATCTCCCATCATGCCCTCCTCTGATGCCGGGACATCCTTGTAGAAGTTCTGTGCCCTGTAGTAAAACTGCTTCTCCCCTTTAATGTACTCACAAGTCATGGCATAGAGTTTCACTGTAGGGCAATAAACATATAGACAGTCACATAGACACTAAAAAACGAGAGAAAAACAAGCCATTGATTTAATTACTAGAAATCTAATATTGTGTTGTAGTTGAAATATAAAGGTCAGCTGTGGGATCAAAGCATCTATGAGATAAAGTTTCACAACAACACAACTTCTCAAAACAACATTCAGTCATAAGTAGTTTTTTTTAAGTACCAGTTATTAATAGCATTTGTTTATGCAGTTTCCAAGATTTTTTTCAGCAAATGGGATTGAACAATCAAGATACTGTTGGCATTGACAGTGTTGTACTACAGCACAAAGGAATGCTTTATTGTTGTCACATTTAGAAATTTAGATGAAGCAACTCAACATATGATACTCTGTCAGCATCAGTCTAATGTCACATTATTAAGTTCAGCTGGAACATCTGCTTTCTTGAACGGCTGGTCACTTAAAGGACAGACCAGTTATTAAGTCAAAGCATGTTTGCAAAGTTGGAGTCAAACATCGGATCACCAGATGATTAGCGGGAAGACCTTGCTGAAGGGTTATAGGTGAGAGAACTGGCAGAGCGAGTGGACTGTGATACTGAAATTGTGAGCAGGGTTTGATATGTGAACCACAAGTTTACTGGTTCAAAGTCAAAAATAGTAACACTGGGCAGTGATTCCCTATGGACTATTTTATTTTGGTCCTGTATATTTTTGTTGGCAGTCTTTATAGCTTAACACTCACTCATCTGCTTTGCCTTATTGGTCATGAGGCAACATTAAAACCTGCTAGTATTACGAAACATTTCAGCCAAAGCAAGACATTAATTCTCATTTTTTTCTCTGAAAGAGATAGTTCACCCAGAAATGTTAATTCTGTCATCCATTTACTCATTCTCATGTCATTCCAAACAGTTTCTGTGGAACATAAAATATGATATTTTGAGAAATGTATGTTTAAAAAAAAAATCATTTATGTATTCCATAAAATGGAAATCAATGTAACCAAAAATATATATTTTTTTAAAATCTTCTTTTGTGTTCCACAGAATGAAGAACATCATAAAAGTTTAGAATGACATGAGGGTAAGTAAATGATAACAGAATTTTAATTTCTCTCACAAAACACTTTCTGAATCCATATCAGTCTTTTTAAAAAATATTAATGAATGATTGTGTTCCCTTTTGGTCTAAAATGCAATTGATGTCATTTATGATGTACTCAAAAATATTTTTGCTCCTAATGCTTAATTTTATTGTAATTTATTACATGAATACAACATGAATTTCACTGACACTAACATAACTTTGCTGTAACTGGGCAGGGCATTTGCAAATGTGCTTTTTTTGTGTGTTTTTCTCTTCCAACCGACATAATACATTATATAGGGGTTAAAAACTACATTTTTAAAAACTACTATTGCTATTGCTAGCTTTTAGTTACCTGCAAGTTACTTTTTTTGCGTAAAGTTAACAGTTTAAAATTTAAGAAACACTTTTCAGTATATTTCCTTTTACCTCAATTTATTATTCCTTTACATATTATTTAACACCAACTGTAATTTATTTAATAAAGAGTATCCCCCCCCCCCCCCCCCCGGGATTCCCACCTATGTATTCTTATGATAGTTGTGATTGAGTCTGTTGAAATAAATCCAGCCTCTGAATCCAACCAGTAACTCATAGTAACACTGACAGACTGGTTTCATTGTCTCCACAGTTTACACTACCCAACATCTGATAGAAATATAAGCTATAACATTCATCAGACAAAGACCACTGTCAACAACACAACAAACCTACGTATGAACTCCATATCATCATATAATATTCATGGCTGTTTAAAGGAGAACATTTGCTGAGATTTTTTATGTTAATGGCTCAGGAACTTAACCACCATCTCCAAAACCTTTCAATACTTTGAAATATGCTGTTATTGCTGCTAATGCACCAACATAGCAAAGTCACAGCCGATATTTTATTATTCAGTCAAATTTAAAGTATGCAGCATGCATATACATGTTATGGAATTATGCTTAAAATAGACACATGGCTGTACACTGGGATAAATAGTATGTACTGTATACTGTTAAGTGAAAATCAATTGTTCCTATTGGATATTGTGGTTTAGGCATAGCTGTTCGACATTATCTTCTCAAATTTGCAAATGTAATTTTGAAGCAGCTTTAATAGGGACAGATATGCCAAAATCATGAATATTAGTGGATGCAGACTAAATATTTATTGTGAATATGGTTTGACGCAACTCCATACTCCAAATGTCTGCCTTACGGTTTTCATCAATTCAATTCAATACAAGTTTATTTGTACAGTGCTTTTCACGATACAAATCGTTGCAAAGAAACTTTACAGCAAATTAAGTTTCTACAATATTTAGTGGCTTATCAGTGGTGACTGTCAGTTAATGTACATATGGCAGAAATGTATGGAAAAATCAATTAAAGACGTAATCAAACAAACGATGAACACTATTAACAGCAATTATTATATGATGCAATCAAAGTTATAGCAAAATGTGGTAGTTCTGTATGTTGTTTTGTATTGTTATGTCATCACAACAATATTGCAGGAAAACTTCAAAGGGTCATAATACAAACAATTCATTGTGCCACCCACTCCCATATCTTACCCAGAGGAATCTGCTCCAGGAGGTACAGGTAGCTGGCGAAGAACTCCTTCCTCAGAGTATTGTGCAAGTGGAAAGACATACTGTGCTTGCACATCTCATCATCCGTCTTTGCCCAGCGGTCTCGGAAAGCTTGATGCGTCCCGCTAAACTCCATAATGGAGGTGGAATCAGATATTCAGAATCTTCTGCAAAGTGACTCAAAGCGTGTGTGATAATGCGTAGCTCAAGGTGTCTCTGAAGACACCACGGTGCTGCTATATATGTAGGAGGCCTCTGGTTACTGACCGGTTGAGCGTTCTATTTCTCAGCAGAGTGCTTAAAACTACCACATCTTATCAGATCACCTGCTTTAGGCCTGGGGTGGTGGAATGAGAAAGGGACGGGTAAGATTGCCTCAGAAGAGGGGTGGTGCCTTCTTCTCCAGTTCCAGAAGAAGCACCTTCTCTTACGTTCCATAGACACATCCAGAATGGCATATTAGTGCATACCAACACATAAACCAGAGAGTCATGCATTCATTCACAGCTACTGACAAGCGGCTTATGCAGTGGCTATTCTTAGCACTGCCTTCTCATGTTTGTATACACAGTATTGGCAAGTTCACAGTGGTGAAGAAAGATCAAAGACAGATCTAATCTGAACATGCTGTTGCTGCTTACTGTCTGCATGCATTAACATAAGCTATACAATAATGACACAATTGCTAAAAAAAACATGGTTTTTAGAGTTACACATACAAATTGTGTGAAAAAGCAGAGATAGGGAGAGAGAGAGAGAGAGAGAGAGAGAGAGAGAGAGAGAGATAAGATGGATAAGATATCAGGCCTCTCATCTTTAGTCATGTCAGCTCATTGGCCATGTGTTACTCATATGATTACAGTTTGAAATTGAGATAAATTGCCAAATGATCATCACCTTAGTGTATGTGATATTCAGTGAACCAGAACTGAACCAGTGCTTAAATTGGAAATGTATGCTCAATGCAATTAGAGAAGACTGTTTATAAATAATGCAGGTCCTAAAGTTGGTCCAAAAAGCCATGTTAATATAGGTAAATGTTTCAAACCTTTTGTTTGAGTTTTTAAAAAATCGAATAGATTTCACCATACTTACCTAGCTGATTCATCACAGTATAACAAAACATTTTTTTTAATTACACGTTTTCTGAAATGTCATGTTTAAATATACAAATCATGGATTATTTAATTAAAAATGCACTCATTAAAAATCTTATACATTTCCAGAACAGACATCTGAACATTGGATAAAGCCAGGTTCAAAAGTCTTGTCTTGGTTTTTATTTTATTTTTTCTTAATGTGTTCTAAACTTTCTAAGACATATCAAAACAAGAAATTTTTCTAATAGTCCAACAACTGTATAAAAACTGGGTTGGTGGTTAAAAAGTATCCTTTATTCTTACAGTCTTTATTGTTCTGACAGCAATTTGTACAAGCTAATCTGGTTTAGAGGCTGTCAATAACTAGCTCACTTCCAATCGCAAAATATAGGTAATAGGTAATTAAACCTGTGAGACTTGAACTAATACATTCAGCACTATAAAATGCGTCGAAGAAAAACAACTACCCGTATAAATACATAAATACAAATCAAATCCAACAAAAGCCTAGCCTGTACATGTATTCCAAGTGAGCGATGCGTACCTCCACATATACAGGTGGCGCTAGAGGTTCTTCCGCTTATTTCTGCTTCTTCGTTTCTTCACAGAATTTCAGTACACACCCATAGCAACACAAACAGCAGCATGCTGCCAGAGCAGAAACGATGAAGCAGTCCAGACATTAGATACACGTCAAAACATCAGGCAGAAATCGACCGCACAGGTTTATTTGCTTTAATTTATGAGCAACAATGCAAGCGGACGACGCCAGATATTTAAAACGGTGAGTGTTTGTGTAATGCGAGCGGGCTCTGTCATTAGCTGTAGTGGTCGAGCTTGAGCTTAACGCTGCATACAAACAATATATACCGTATGCATGTAAATGTTGTTTTCTGAGGCGTAAGACATACATTTTATATATATATGTACAGCTTTCAAAATATTCAGGCAAATTATGGCATCAGTTTATATTTATGTGTCTTCAAGTGACGGTTATATGGGCATAATCATCATTATCATCACCACAATATCATCATTCATCATATTAAACAGAGTTATTGAATTAATAAAATGTATTTGTACGTATGCTATGTTTACAATGGTACTGAATGTTTACATTAATTTACTGTGTTATTTAATGTTGCTCCAGGGTGCTTTGAAGGATAACAATAACAAGTTACTATCTGGGAACATGTCTAAGAAAAACAAAACAAAAAGGATAACAAAACATGATTGTTTTACCAATAAAATACTACTTTTTTAAAAGATAAGCTTTATGCGTCAAACATCTTTCATAGGTAACTCAAAAGTAAGGCAAGGCAAGTTTATTTACTGTATATAGCACATTTCATACACAATGGAAATTCAAAGTGCTTTACATAAAAGAAAATAATAATAAAAAAAATTATCACAACAATAAAACAAGGAATTTAAAAACTTTGGAAATGATTTAAAAATGTATTTAAGAAGTTTAAAATTAATTTAAAACAGTTAAGAATAGAAAATGATTATACATAAAATATAGCGCAATAAGTTCGAACATTGCACAGTGCTCATTCAATTAATGCACAGCTAAACAGATGAGTTTTGAGTCTGCATTTAAATGTGACTAATGTTTTAGCACATCTGATCTCTTCTGGAAGCTGATTCCAACTGCGGGCGGCATAATAACTAAAAGCGGACTTCCTGTGTTTTGTGTGAACCCTTGGTATTTCTAACTGACTCGATCCTACCGATAAGGCTAGGTAAATCTGGGTATTATCAGCATAGCTGTGATAGGCAATTTCAAAAATAGTAGGAAAAGTATGTAATTTATAACAATAATCAATAATAATCTATAATATTTTGTATTCAGGAAATATAAGGGTGGCAGTTTAGATGTCCACCCCACAGAAAAAGCCCTTGTTGTCCAATATGAAGTGGAAGCTACAATCCTTGGAGAGACGGGAGACCCGATGCTAGGAGAACGCAAGGAGTGCCAGAAGATGTAAGATCATTCAGATAAATGGAGTAGTAGGAAAATTGATTGTGTGGTAGATTTTTAGAGCTAAAACTTTCCTCTGTTTGCAGAATCCGTCTGAAAAGCCTGAATTCCAACACAGATATTGCGTCTTTAGCACGGAAGGTAGTGGAGGAGTGTAGACTCATTTCCCCTTCCAGACTTCCTGAGGTGGAACAGTTATTGTTCTACCTGCAAAACCGCAAGAAATCTGCTGGTAGGCTGAGAAGAATAGGGTAAAAAATATTATAAAAAGTGCTTTAGTGATTGTTTGTGTTTTGTTTACTCAGAAAAGAAAGAGAAGAAACAGATCAAGCCTAGAGACCTGACTCCTTTTGAAGGCATGGAGGTATAGTTGAAATGAATATGAATTTGTTTTTGTCACAGATTATATATATATATATATATATATATATATATATATAAATTATAGTTTTCTCAACCAAAATGTATAAAAACATTTTTGACTCACTTAATGCCTTGTGTCCTGCAGCTTGATGAGGAGGCCAACATTAATAGCATAGATGACTATGTTGAGCTTCTGTATGAGGACATCCCTGAGAAGATCAGAGGAGCTACACTCATCCTCCATTTGGCCCGTAACCCTGACAACCTAGAGGAGTTGCTGCAGAACGGTGTGTTGCACACTGGAGCTCATGGCTAAAATGTCAAAGAATCATTTTTAAGCAGTTTAGGATTTTATCTTTAAACTTTCCACATAAAGCCTTATTTTAAATACGTTTACATTACCATATAACAAAGCTTTGGTTTGCTCCTCATGTATGATTAAAAGGATAGTGCCCCTAAAAAATTTAAATTCTGTCATCATTTACACACCCTCATGTTGTTCCAAACGTATATGACTTACTTTCTTCTGTGGAACACAACAGAAGGTATTTTGAAAAAATGTCTTAGTGTTTTTTTGTCTGTGTATTAAAGGTCAGTGGGCTCCAATGTTGGACCCTGACGTTTTACAAAATATCTTCTTTTGGGTTTGAAAACAAGGTTTCAAGGATTGAGGGTGTGTAAATAATGACAGATTTTTCTGTTTTTGGGTGAAATATCACCCAATTTTGTAGGATGTCATATTTAGGACATTATTATCATCTCTTGCAGTCATTCTCATTCCATTATTTTATGTACCTCATTCATTCTTTCATAAGAAAATGATCTTGAAGCCCCAATGTTTCTGCCCTTACCCTTATGAAAAAGGGCTTGTCATATTAGCACAAAGACTTTATACACTACTATTCAAAATCCGTCAGTAATATTAATTAAAAAAAAAATAATAATAATTTTATCCAGCAAGGATGCATTCAATTGATCAAAAGTGGCAGTTACAAAAAACTTCTATTTCAAATTAATTCTGTTCTTTTGAATCGTTGATTCTTTTCTTTTGGGTTTCTACAAAAATATTAAGCAGCACAACATTGATGATAATAATAAGAAATGTTTCTTGGGCACCAAATCAACATATTTGAATGATTTCTAAAGGATCATGTGACACTGAAGACTGGAGTAATGGGTGCTGAATATTCAGTTTTGCTGTCACAGAAATAAATTACACTTTAAAATATATTGAAATAAAAAAGTTATTTTAAATTGTAATAATATTTTACAATATTACTGTTTTTGATCAAATAAATGCAGCCTTAGTGAGCATAAGAGACTTCTTTCAAAAGTTATTTTTTTCACTAAACTTAATGCCACTAATAGTAAACATTAGTAAAATAAAACAGAGTATGGGGATCCATTCATAAAAAAGTAAGTCTCTTCCATTTACACTCTCCCTTGTCCGATCTCTTTGACCCCTTAGGTCACTGTAACTCAATCCATATTTGTAGTACTACAGCCTGTTTTCTACTTTCCTTTGACTATTTGCCTTTTAGCATCTAGTGTCATTAGATTTTTACCCACAATGCATTTTCACCTTTGCAAGTGTGTTCTCTCTTTTCCCATTAGCCCATATCCTAACATATTCTCCGTATTCACAAGTTCTTCACAAGCAGCCACATATTTCAAACCGTTGCCATTTTGTATTCACAACGTGAGTTCTTTTCATGAGCAATGAAAGCATTTAGTGTTTTGTCTGCTCTCCCACAGAGACTGCTCTGGGCGCACTGGCCCGGGTCCTGAGAGAAGACTGGAAGCAGAGTGTCGATTTGGCAACCACCATCATCTACGTCTTCTTCTGCTTCTCCAGGTAAACGGACTACACATCTGCATGCTCTAGCCAAGACTCACTCTTCAGTTTGACGGATGTTGTGCACGGAGCTGAGACACAACAATGGCGATGTGCCATGAGGAGAATATATTTTCTTGCATGAGAATCATAATATTAAATACTCCTATCATAATACAACACATCAGCTGCTGTCAGGACTCATATGAAAAGCCAGGCTGTAGGTAAATGTGAAAGCTAGAATCATTCTTGAATCTCTGCCCTTCCGATGTTATTCTGCTGAAGTCTGCAGTGGTTTGGTTAACATTCATCATGCTCTCGGTGAGCGAGTGTATTTGACATGGGTTAAGGCTTTATTTTGGCGTGGTTGGATGCATGGTGAAGGTTAGACAAACAAGTTTTTTATCTCCAGTTTCTCCCAGTTTCACGGCCTGATCACTCACTACAAGATCGGCGCGCTGTGCATGAGCATAATTGACCATGAGCTGAAGCGCTATGACCTATGGCTGGACGAGCTGCAGAAGAAAAAGAAGGCTGATATCCTTTCAGTGTAGCGGGGGTCGTAGGTGAAAGGGCGACAGGATGTCAGAGAAAGGGTAAAGGTAAAGTCATGCCAAGGGTCAGGGGGGCATGGGTGTTATGTTTTAATTAAAATGTTGCCCTTTAATTACTGCTCTGAACACAAGGGTTTAATAGACAAGGTCCTTGACTTTTTGAACGGGACGATGACCCAGACAATCAGAACCTGAAGAAGGAGTACGAGAAAGCCCTGAAGAAGTACCATGGACTGCTGACCAAACAGGAACAGCTTTTGAGAGGTAGAAAACATTATTACCCCACACACCCACAAAGAAATGTCTCATTTTACAGCTTAAAGATATGTTTTGACTAGCCAGGCTCCTATGGAAATTTTGGCTGATACTGATGCCAAATATGATTGTTGTGGCTGATTTTATAAATATGCACTGTTCTATACAATATTAAAAACCAGTTGTCTTTTTATAGGTGATGTTTGTGATTTTCTAATTAATAATCTTTATTTTACAATTTTGTTGGTGCAGAAATTGCACTGCTCTTTTTAAGAAATAAGCACATAAATTTAGACATTAAAATATTATAAAGTGCACTACTATATATATATATATATATATATATATATATATATATATATATATATATATTTGGAACCATGTCCTGTGGTCTGATAAGACCAAGATAAACTCATTTGGTTCAGATGGTGTCAAGCTTGTGTGGCGACAACCAGGTGAGGAGTACAAAGACAAGTGTGTCTTGCCTACAGTCAAGCATGTTGGTGGGAGTGTCACGGTCTGGGGCTACATGAGTGCTGACGGCACTGGGGAGCTACAGTTCATTGAGGGAACGATGAATGCCAACATGTACTGTGACATACTGAAGCAGAGCATGATGCCCTCCCTTCGGAGACTGGGCCGCAGGGCAGTATTCCAACATGATAACGACCCCAAACACACCTCCAAGACGACCACTGCCTTGCTAAAGAAGCTGAGGGTAAAGGTGATGGATTGGCCAAGCATGTCTTCAGACCTAAACCCTATTGAGCATCTCAAGGTCTCTAACATCCACCAGCTCCGTGATGTCGTCATGGAGGAGTGGAAGAGTGGCAACCTGTGAAGCTCTGGTGAACTCCATGCCCAAGAGTGTTAAGGCAGTGCTGGAAAATAATGGTGGCCACACAAAATATTGACACTTTGGGCCCAATTTTGACATTTTCACTTAGGGGTGTACTCACTTTTGTGGCCAGCGGTTTAGACATTAAACTGAAAATTACTGCGTGCAACTATGACCTATGAAATTGAGCACCAGTGCGACTGACCCGATCATCATCATACTTGTGATTGTGCTCAGGGAAGCTTCAAAGCTTTCTAGCTTTCTACGCAGCGTCGAGTAATGTATCAGACATATCTCACCAATCCTTCATAAGCAAAGTGTAGACAGGGTGTAAATAAGAGATTCATCACACAGTGTAGAGAGCTTCGTTGATTATAAATGTGAGCTCGCGATGAACTAAGAAAAATCAGTGACTTGCCGCCACCTGCTGGCAGTTTTAGTTTCATTTTTAAAGTATCTTTTCAGTTATTTAAATCATTTAATATTTCTATATTCAAAATTTTATATTTAAAACATTAATATCATCATGGATTTATGGATTTAATTGCACTCATTCCACTTCTGAGCCTCATTAAATGTCTGAAAGTACATCAAACAACACTTTTGTGTTCTTCTGTGCCACCTCTACAAATTATTTTTGTTAATACTGATTTCATTTGATTTTTAACTTGTTTCTTATTCTACTCTTATTCTGTTGTTAAGCTTATAAAATATAATTTAAGAATTTGACAAAAGATGACATACTTTTAATAAAGTTAGAGGAGTCAAATATTACCTCGTAATGGGAAGGCTACTTTTTGATAACATTTTGGATTATTGATTAGAAGGTGCTCCTAAAATTTTGAACGTGCTCCTAAATTTTTTAAGTTAGGAGCACAAGTGCTCCTAAAAAGAAAAGTAAGCGTCGAGCCCTGTTTAGACATTAATGGCTGTGTGTTGAGTTATTTTGAGGGGACAGCGAATTTACACTGTTTTACAAGCTGTACACTCACTACTTTGCATTGTAGCAAAGTGTCATTTCTTCAGTGTTGTCACATGAAAAGATATAATAAAATATTTACAAAAATGTGAGGGGTGTACTCACTTCTGTGAGATACTGTATGTATGTATATATATATATATATATATATATACACACACACACACACAAACACTGCCGTTCAAAAGTTTGGTGTCGGAAAAATATTTTTTGAAATGTTTTTGAAAGAAGTATGCTCACTAAGTAGTATGCATTTATTTGACCAAAAATGCAGTAAAATCTGTAATAGTGTGGAAATATTATTACAGTTTAAAATAACTTTTCTATTTGAATACATTTTAAAATATAATTCATTCCTGAGATGCAAAGCCAAATTTTCAGCAGCCATTGCTCTTTTTTTCAGGATTGTTTGATAATAGAAAGTTCAGAAGAACATTATTTAAAACATTGTTTGAAAAATCTTTCGTATTATTGTAAAAAAAAAAAAAAAAAAGTCTTTACTGTCACGTTTGATGTTTAATGCCTCTTTGCTGAATAAAAGTATTTTTTGGAACAATAGACTTTTGAACAATACAGTTTGAACTGAAAAAGCATTTGAAGCACTAAATCTGCTTCCAATATTATCTGTTTTAAAAACAGATTCGAAAATGTATTGATGACTTTCCTGTTTGTGTTTCTCTGCCATCAGTTGCTCTGTACCTGCTGCTGAATTTGTCTGAGGACACTCGCACAGAGCTGAAGATGAGGAACAAGAACATTGTCCACCTTCTGGTGAAAACGCTGGACAGAGACAGTGAGGAGCTCCTGGTGCTGGTGGTGTCCTTCCTCAAGAAACTCAGTATCTTCTTAGAAAATAAGAATGACATGGTAAGAAATACTGTCAGATGCTTTTATCCAAAGTGACTTATTTATTCTGTTAACTTGTAGTAGTACACTGATGCCCTCAAAGCTTATAGACATGCACTAATAGCCCCAGAACTCCAATTTTGATTTCATGGGGTGTTTAAATGCTGTGCTTAAAGATTGCAACCTGAAAGGTTGCAGGTTCAAACCCCACAAGGCTACACCACCCCAGTTGTCACTTTCTAATTATTACTCTCTCCTTTCTAAATCAGCCACACCTGTTCTCATAACTTGTTGCTCATGTGATGTTCTGTATTGCTTCAAGACAGTTTAACTGTACTGTTTAGTCGACCACTTATCCCACACTTCCTCCACCTGCAACCAATCACACAAACTCTAACAAACTGTAGACCGAAGGTTATCTCAGCAATCATTTATTTGGATTCATTTATCAGCTAATTTTTGATCTTCTAAATTAAACACATTTGTCGAGGCAGCTGGGCAAAGATTATTACGACATTGACAAATGCTATACAACAATAATACACATTCTTGTATGATTAATTTAATGCTTTCAGTCGTGTGGAGATGACGGTTCTGTCACATTGTTTGACGCCGACTGTGAATGCAAGGTTGTAGATGTATGCAGTTATTAACATTGAAGGCTTAATTTGAAAACTGGTTCCAGGCTGTGAACAGTGGCTTTAATGGGGATCACGTTTCTGCTGGGCTGTCCGTCTGTGGCTGTGTTTGACCACAACTGAAGCAAGCAGATGTGTTAACAAGCAAAGCCACAGGCACATAAGGAACTAACTGACTCCTACATCACTCCATCACAATCATCTCTCTCTCTCTTTGATAGGCTGAGATAGATACAGTAGAGAAGCTGGCAAAACTGGTGCCCTGTGAACATGAAGATCTCCTGAACGTAACTCTTCGCCTCCTCCTTAATCTCTCCTTTGATACTGGCCTCTGCAGCAAGATGGTGCATGCGGACCTTCTGCCCAAACTCACCTCACTGCTAGGTAAGATTCCTGCAGGTGTTTTTGGATATTTTATTATTTGATATTGTATTATTTTATTTGAAATATATTATAATTGTATTATTTTATTCTATATATTATAATTGTAATATTTTTGTTACATGTATGTGTGTGGATAATAGTAGAGATAATCAAAATATATATTTGTTGGTTTTTATTTTTTAATTATTTACATTTTATTTTATGTTATACATTTTATTTATTTATTTTATTACTTTATATATGCTCATAGTAGAGCGAGGGCTGGACAAAAATGGGGAAATACTCTAAATTTTGTGAGCTGTTTCCAACCCACATTGCTCATGAAACTCCTTGGCCCTATTTTATCTCATGGTTATGAATTCAAATGATTGTTCAGACAAATTAATTGTCCATTTGACAGACTTGCTGTGTTACAACCATTGAGACAGCATAAGTCGAAAGACCGTAAATCTACTAGTCATTTATTTTGTGTTTGAGGATGCAAATGTTTCTTAGCCTCATAAAGCAGTTACAGACTGGCTCTGTCCTGTCTTTCAAAGACCACTTCCCGAGATGAAACCAAACACACGTTTGGTGCATGGACTACATATACAGGCGTGGTTGGCTTTGGCACCAACAATGTGTTTTTTGCAAGGCCTCAGGGGGGTGTCGTGTGTCCCGTGCAATTAATGTAATATATTTGTTTAAAAAACAGCTTCAGCTCTAAAGTAAATGTTGTTTTTCCAGCACGAGGGAAGTCCACATTTAGCGGCTTATGGAGATTTTCTCTCTCCATCAGACACATACAACTACCCATTCTTTATGAACACTTTGGACTGGCTGCCAACAGCTAATGGTCCTTTGCACTAGTGTGGATGATGTAATGTTTTTGTAAGTATTTTTTGAAGAAGGTGTGTGTAACCTCTGCTTTTATCTGGTCTGCTTTGTAAGAATGTGACATCAAGTCCTGTCAGAGTATTGCAAATACCTCATGAATCTTCAGTGTGCACTGAGTGAGGCTCCTATCTGCTCTTCTGACCTTGCTGAAAAGATGAAAGTGAAGTTTGGTATTTTCTCCAACCTCTTTGATGAATTATCTCAGAACCAGAACCAACTGATCGACAAATTCCTCTTACATCACACTGCAAAAAATGATTTTCTTATTCGTTTTGTCTTGTTTATCTGTCTAAACATTCTTAAAGGGGTCATCGGATGCAAAATTCACTTTTGTTGTTTTTTGAACATAAAAGTGTGTTGGAAGTGTGTGTACACATTAGGGATGTTCATTTTAACCATTAAACCGGTTAACCGATCGTAATACTTTTGACCGATTAATACAGTTTAACGGTTTAAAAAGTAATTTAATTATTTTTTTTTTTCAGTAATTTATCAAAATATTTAAAAAGGTTTGCTGCATGGTTAAAATACGCTACGCGTATAAAAAATGTTTTTTTAGGGGGAAAAAACATAAGTCGCATTTTATTTCATTTAGAAATAGGCCTAATGCTGACGCGAAATGTTTACAAGCATTATAATAAACACTGTAAACATTTTAGTTCCCCTCACTCCACAACAAATAATTTCAATTAACTGTATTTAGAAAAGAACAAGAATTAAAAATATAAGAAGCTATAGCAATATAAACGACAAGCCAAAACAAATTCATTTAGGCTAAAACGAAACTGAAACCAAGGTTGGGTCTCTCATTCCACACAAAATCAAATGTTTCCATATTTGCGATGTATTTGAATGCCAAATTATTATTTATTATTTACTTCACTCGCGTTCAAATATCCACGTAAAACACTTAATATGTATTATTATTACTACATATATTTTTTTAACTTTACATATTTTTTTTCCCCGTATGTTTGACTGACTGTATTTTATTATGATAATGAACAGGCTGCATTGTCAAGGTAGCAATGCTTAACTGTGTGCGCACATGCGGTGCCGGCAATCACTTGAATTGTTTCCTTTTAACAGTGGAAGAAACTACTCCTTTTAGTCATAAAGATAATCGGAATTGTGTACATTCACCATTAAAAACAAATCTGTGTGCTTTTGTAAAATAAGCCTAAAGAAAAATAGGATGCCGCTTTCTGCCATCTGTTTCCTTACGTGCAGGTGCGTGATGTGATATGATGACCATGTGAATCCTCATGTTCTGTTGTTTGCTGCTTTTTGCGCATGTAAATTAATCCCCGGGAAGCAAATGTTAGTATTTTTAACGGGTCACAGACACTTATCCTTTCTAATTTAATTCCTTTCTAATTTAAAATAATCTTGTCGGTTAAAGGGGTCATATGATGCGATTTCAAGTTTTCCTTTCTCTTTGGAGTGTTACAAGCTGATTGTGCATAGATAAGATCCCTGAAGTTGCAAAGACTAAAGTCTCAAAACCAAAGAAATATTCTTTATCAAAGTTAAGACTCTGCCATGCCCCCCTAAAATGGCTCGTTCTAACACGCCCCCACATATCTACCTCACTATGTGGAAATATTTGCATAATGCGCCCAAATGTGCACGCAAAGAAAGAAGGCGTGGTTTCAGTAACCGCAGTTAGTGTTGAAGCAGCCATGTCAGGGAGATGCTGTGTGTTTCTAGGCGAAAGCAAAAACACTTTATTTGGCCTTCCGAAAGTAGATGCATTTAGGAATCTTTAAGATCACTTACAACAGAACAGCAATGCATTTTATGGACGACTGTTTCGTGAACCTAGGAGAGGAGGTAATTCTGACTTTGCTATGACAATCTGGTGCTTCTGAATCAGCTACTGTTTTGTTATTAGTTTAAGTATTTGCTATTGACTGTTCAAATGTGGAGTTTTGCGCATCGTGTTTGTGTGTGTGTGTGTGTGAGAGAGAGAGAGCGAGAGAGAGAGCGAGAGAGAGATAGACAGGGTCACATCACAGATTCAGCTGTCTTAACTGTGGCTTGTGTACTGCAAACACATACCAGCTTCATCACTGTGTCTGTCACGCGACTCTGTTCCCCTTTCGGGCTTGAACTGATGGTAAAACTAATGATATTATTTACTGTCTTTACATTTAGTGAAGTGAAGTGAAGTGACATGTGGCCAAGTATGGTGACCCATACTCGGAATTAGTGCTCTGCATTTACCCATCCAAAGTGCACACACACAGCAGTGAACACACACAAACCGTGTACACACAGTCGTGGTATTGAAGGCGTTTGGAGAGAGCGCTGCACATTCACTCCCCCCACCTACAATCCCTGCCGGTACGAGATTCGAACCCACAACCTTTGGGTTATGAGTCCGACTCTCTAACCATTAGGCCATGACTTCCCCACGATTTCACAATATCTCTGTTTTTATTGTATTTTTGATTTAAATGTAGCCTTGGTGAGCATAACAGACCTCTTTCAAAAAACTTACTTAAAAAATCTTACTGATCCCAAATTTTTGAATGGTAGTGTAATTTCTTTCTTTCTTTCTTTCTTTGGTTTGTTTTAAATTACACTGTAAAAATTACCTGTACATTTTACAGTAAAATACTGGCAGCAGGGTTGCCATCCAGTTACTGTAATTTTTACAGCTGTAATTTCTACAGCATTAAATTGCTGTACAGTAAATTACTTTAATGTGTGTATGCTATATTTAGAATAGTCTTAAAAGTTGTTAAATCTAGCAATGAAATCCTATCGTGACTGCGCTGCTGCAACCCTGATGCGTGAATCTGGGGTTACAGATATGAATGTAGGGTGAACGTGATTTCACCAAGTACCAGTACATTATGTTCCAGGATCAACAAGGATGTCGATCGTTGTTGATTCCAATCAACCAATCATAATTGAGGGATAAGGTTTCAAGAAATGTCAGTTTTAGGCTTACAATCAGTTATAGATGACACCCTTGTTATTCACCTATCATTTCTCTCTGATTTTAGGAATTAATAAATTAGGGGTAGGGATTGGGTTAGGTCTATATTTTTGGACAGTAATGTTGATCCAGGATCAACAAAACTTGTTGATCCAGGAACATGTCGTACATGGCAAAATCACGGCGACCACTACTACTATAGTTACCAAACATGAAAAATAAAAAATAAACTGAAATAAGAAGTCACTTACCACAGTTGTGAATCCCTCCTCTTGCTGCTCCCCGAATCTCGACCATTGAAGATCCTACAATGCCTCTGTAGATTTGAAATTTACAGCAATATACTGTACATTTGCGTCAAACACCACGTGCCCCCAGAATGCATTGCTGTTCACAGCAAATATGCTGTATTTTTAGAAAAACAGCCCGCTGCTGTAAAATTTTGGTGTCATTTTTACAGCAGTTTGTTACAGTGTATGTTTATGCTTAAAAAATGCCCATGGGGTTGGGCAAATAAGCTTCAAAGATGTATACTCTCATAATATTTTGTCTTACATAACTTTGCGTCACAAGTAAATGTGTCTTGTTTTAAAGATTATGTATGTGTGCTCTAGGGGCAAAACACTCATTCTCAACTAGGCCTGAGAATAACCTTGTGCAAATTACACACAGACATTAATGCCGCTCTTGCTCACTGCATGCATCTTTAATCTTACAGTGTGTACCATATTTTGCACTGCTGATGATCCTTGTAGATTTGGATTAAAACATTTCAAACATCAAAACTGTAAAAATAATCACTATGGAGTTTCATCGGCTTTGACATCACTGAATAAGGCATTAGTTAATATCGCTGCAGTCAGGAGTGAACACAGACAGTGGTAATGTGGCAGCTGAAGTGGAAGAGCGTTCAGGGAGGCATGGAAAATCCCAGTGGTACAAGAAGAAAGGGAGTGTGTCCTCCCCGGGGAGGATGTAGAGAGTGATATCGGCTCCGCTCCCAATTCTTTTCGAGTGCCTTCTGGACTCTCCCACCCCTCTCTCAACACTCAGCATCTTCTGTTTGTATCATAAATGTCAAACAAAAGCCTGTGCTAGGAGTGTCACCACTAACATTATTGTGTTTGTCTTCACCTCCCATCACAGAATGCACAATGTTTAAACAGATAGGACACAT